AATAATATCATCAATATTGAGAAGCGAATCTTCATTATGATCCTTGTTTATAGTGTTATCAAACTGCTTGCCAAGCAATCTCTTCAGTCTGATCGTTCCTGTCTTTTGTGTCTTTTTTGATATAGAACTTCGCTCTGGAGTAGAAACAGTCGTTGGCAGAGTTCTTTTCGTGCGTGACGTATTTATAGTATCATGAACCCCTGTGGCTGTAGTTTCGACCTCTTGATCTCTCATGAATATTGGATTAATGGTATTAATGTTATGCAAAAGAAACAAAAACCCTGCACATGCATTCCGTATTTTAGTAGCACAAGGCTTACAAAGTCTTTCTGATAAATCGGATTTTCTCTCCACCTTTATTCCAATCGCATCCACATTCTGCGCTAAAATTTGCCCTTCGAATCCCTTTTTTTTAGATGCATTAAAGACATTTTCAGTGGATACAGACTTCCAAGAGTCTCCATACTGAACTCTTAGGGATAATTTACAACACCTACAATAATCGTTCGAATTTAGTTTCTTATGTTTTGCAGTTGGAACTAATTTTTTAGGTGTTTCGTTTATATTCGACATTGTTGAAATATCCTAGAAATATCCAGGACAAAGTTGTTTTTGTTGTCAACGCCTGCGATACAATGTTAAAACGTATTTCCGGTCTGCGTTGATTGGTCATTATTAATTGATTTGTGACATGCTAATTGAAGGGGCGGCACACGAACATCATAGGGATCCTTGCAGGCTCTCTTTCACCCAGAGAACCTGCTCCAGGCTACATCAAAAATAGCATGAGCACTTTCTTCTTTTCCAGGCTTTATGATCAGCCAGCATTTCTTAGCATTTGGAAAGTATCCCAAATTAGGGCCAGCTTCATTCAGGTGTTGCCACCATCGTTTGATATCTTCCAGAAATCCCGCGCCACTCGCGTCGTCAGCAAACCAACATTGCTTGACGTTGCTTGACACATTCAATCCGGTGATCAGGGGTTGAAGAATGATGGCATACATCTCCATGGCCAGGGGATCCCCTTGTGTGGTACCCTCGGTGGACTTGAGCTCTCCTCCACCAGATAAAAATAGTCTAGCTGGTTCGCGATAGGTGTTAATTGCATAGGTTGACATAGATGGACACAGAACTGTTATGTTGTGGAGTGCAGCCGCTCGATTGAGTGCGTTGAATGCGTTTGAGGCGTCAATCAGAAGTACGGCATCTGTCTCGTCTGCTTCAAATATGGAGTGCATCGCATGAACGGCTGCCTCACTTCCGCTCTTAAGACTTGCGCACACCTGTAGCAATCCACTGGCATCAATCACGTTGGGCTTAATCACTTTCATAACACATTTCCCGACAATCCTCCTGACAACTTCCCCGACGCCAATTGGACGAACCGCGCCCTCGCCTTTGTCAAGAGGTATAAGCCTGTTGGCTAATATAGGCTCGATAGTTCTCGGGTCAATGTATTCCGTACATAGCCGCCGGATCATTGTTGCTACTGCCTCACACAAGTTTACGCCTGATTTCTTAAACGATTTACATGCGAAAATACGCTTGAATCCATTTGCATCCACTCCTGAAGGGCCGCCGGAGCCCTTGGTTCGCAATGCTGTCTCGCGTATCATTGCGCCATCGATCTGCTGATATAACGAATCGTGCACTTCCTCAAATGGCCCGAAGAGTAACGAGCCAAGTTTGGCCTCTTGTGCCTCAGGGTGTTTCTCCTGAAGCTGTCTCATCACGTCGTCAGTCAAAGACAGCACTCCATCACAATCAGCCTCATTGAGAATCTCAAAGCAGAATTGATCTGACCTTCCATGACCAACTTGGCGAATATCTTCGCTTTATTTGGAGGCTCCGTCCTTTTAGCCTTTGCTAGACGCTTTTGAATGGACCGGCCTTCACGAAGTAAGCTCTCGACTTCTCCTTCTTTCCATAGCGCTAGTCGTTTTTCCAAGCACTCTTTGTGATCTTTTGCCTTCGATTTTACGCTTGGCTTTTGCAGTGCCGTTGCCAAGAGAACAATTGCAGCTTTCAGCGCTATGTGTTGTGTTTGCGATGCGTTGTTCCAATCGTTTATATGTTGTGTTAGCTGGTCGATAAAGTCTCACCCACTTTGCCATACGGGACGAGAAAAGTATTTTTACGCCATCGCGTAATTTCATCGTATGCATTAATTATGGTTGACGAGTTGACCGTAATTATTGAGCCGTCCGCTCTGCGTCCCCAGATGGTAATCGATGGTATATCAACAGCAACATAGTCGGGTAGACGTCCTGTTTCATGTATGCCGGCGTGTGGTTCACCAGGACAGTCATTAGTTACTTCAAAGCCCTCTACAGCTTCGGTTTCTTGCCGTTCGTGACTGTTTTGGACAATATCATTGTCTGTATGCAAATCCAGATTGCTGTTTACCTCCAAATTTGCATTTTGACTAATGGTGTTTTGATTTTCAAAATTGTTAAATTCATGTTGTGAAATCGTGTTGTGCCTTCTCTGGTTTTCATCTAATGTCTGCTCTCTTTCGTCATCGATAACCGCTCCGCCGCTTACTTTACCGATAGCACGAGTCTCAATTGCAGCGTTAATTTTCTCAAGCCTAGCGGCTTGATGTCGCAGGTTTTGACTCTTCAATCCAAGATGTTCGTATCCTCTCTTGTCCCACAGATCTTTCATAACTTGTATATAGCCTTTCTTTCTGCCGTTCACATGGCATGGCGGGTTTTCCGATTTAAGGTATTCCATCGCTTTCTTCTTACATTCTAGCAGATCTGTATTCATTTGCTCTGTCCATTTTAATTTCGATCGCTGCTGTCGCGAAATCGTGTATAATAAATATTTCTTGAAATTGACCCAATAGCTGACTAAAACACCATCTTCTCCAATACACAAAATTTTCTTAATTGAGCATCAAAGTTGAAAAAGCATTCAGGTTTCCAAAGAGCAAGTAAAAGTTGATAAATCTATCACAAAAGGTTTAAAATAAATGCAGTTTATGCCAACCCCAAACTTTGCTTTCCGGCGGCCATGTTGTAAATAATACTAATAATAATAATAATAATGTTGTAAATAATAATAATAATAATAATAATAATAATAATAATAATAATAATAATAATAAAAATAATAATAATAATAATAAAAATAATAATAATAATAATAATAATGGAAACTTTATTGAAATTACATACGTATATATACAATTATAAATCTGACTAATTTAGGTAATTTGTAATTGACTACTTGAACCTACTTAATATTTATATATTAATATAAATATCCTTAAATGTTCGGTAATTCCGGATTTGGCCGGTCCTTATCTCTGCAACAAAATATATAATATGGGTCCTAATCGCGATAGACATAATTTTCCTGATAGCGAAATATTGGTGTCTTTTATCAGGACCTAGATCATTTAACATATCTGGGGGGAATGACATTCTTTTGAGAAAACGTCTAAAGAACTAATTGACAAATTTACAAATTTTACGGACTTAAATTGTTTCTTTTGCTGTGTAATGAGATCTTCGTATCTTCTTCTTTTCCGATCAACATTTGTTTGTAGATTAGACTCATAACCAACAGAGGGTTCAAGGATATAGAGACAATCCGAGTTAATTGATAGATAGAAGTAGGTCTGGGCGGAATGTGTCACCAGTTACAATTGATGGGCTTTTATAACCAGGAAGATCGACGAAAATATTGGAGTTGTTTACAGGTTGTAGCGTTTGTGCTATGAAGTTCAGAACAGAATCATGTCTCCATGTAAATCGTGGGAGGTACGTTTGACATCCAGCAACTACGTGTAAAAAGGTTTCAGGGTTTAAGCAGAAGGAGCAATCAGGGTTGGACAATATTCCCCATTTAGTAAGGTTTTTACGAGTTGGAAGTAAGTTATTAATGTAACGAATGGTGAAGTTATAGATGTTCTTTGGGAGGTTTGATTGGGGTTTGGACCATATGCCGTTTAATTTCGACAAGTTTTCGAAAGTATCGGGGGTTTTTTTCGCTGGAACTTGCAGGCTAACTCTTCAACAACCTAATGACTGTTTTTAAAGCAAAGCAATTGAAAGGAAAACTTATATTTTCATACAAAGAAGATGAGTGGTGATATTTATGTTGGACTGTTTTGAGCAGATGCTTCGAAGAACATGATATAATCGGACCTTGTATCTTAAGTGTACTTGGAACAGCCGAACAAAGTGGTAAATTTTGTTACCCGGTGTGTTGGGCATCATAATTCACAGGAATAGTGCTCAGGGCGTTTAAACTGGCTATGAAATATCCTGAATACTTCGTCGAGTTATCTACTGCCATGTGACCTGTAGTTTAATGTAGCACGCGTCTTTGAAAGGGCTTTACTTGACTTTAATCGATGTGTAATGTATAACTTAGGTAAGCCAACATTTCTTTGTAATGCAAGCTACATTTTCATATCTTTAATGTGTGAACATTTTTAATTTTGTAAAATATTAAGCGCAATATGTTGTTGGAAAAAGTATCGAGTGCTTCATAATAACGCTCAGATCTTGTATACAGATTTTTGTATTTTATTCAAAATCTACCCTTTATTACCACTTTTTTTATTCTTTTATGTTAAAGTATACATAATCCTTGACTTGATTACACGATGATCTACTCGAGGAAAATTGGGCAAAGCGGCGATCTTTGCAGAGAAACTTGACCGTTCGGTGAAATTGGTAGTTTTGAGACCCTATTTTAATTGTAGTATTTCGTGACAATATGTTGGCCGATTTCTAGTTTATATTGTAGAACGGGTTCCTAGTGAATTACATTAATTATATACCTTCTAACGAGTAGTAATAAGCGCGATTCCTTTTTGTTGATGGATGTTGAAATCATTTTAGACTTTTCTTCATATACAACAAGTACACTACCGAGTACTGAATCACTGTTTGCAAAGAAACTAGCCTGTATCACCTCCAAAATACCAGCTTATTTTTAAAGTCAAATAGTTTCTCCATGGATAAAAGTAGTTTTTATGGAGTCAAAAATAGAGCAAGTACGAATTTAAGGAAGGTCAATTTGCACTTGTATATCTCACTTCGGAAAAGATATACATATAAAACAGGTATATTTGTACGGCGAAATTAAACTGGTGCAACAAAGTTTTTATTTTTACTTTCACGTTCTTATTCCAAAGCAAAGACTTCTAATTCAAAAATGCCTAAAATTGTGAGCGTAGAAACACTAAAAAACAAGAAAACGACTTCATAACACGAGTAGTTTTGGCAAATTTGGTGTTTGTTTTTAGAATTCAGTCACGCGATCAACCCGCGCTCACGTGCACTCCACGCGTACGTTCGCGCGCATGCGTAGACGGAAGTCCCCTCTGTTCTCGTACAATCTATTGGACTGTCTTGAAACCGCTTTTTGGTTTCTGCATGCCGTTTGCAAACAGTCTGGGTTTTGTAGACGCGTTTTAGTTTCCAGGTGGTTCAGATTTCAAATTTTGTGTCAGAACAATTAATATTGGAACATGTAAGACAATGGTAAACTTCATACCTAGTTAATGTGACAGCGAACAGTTGTATCTTTCCAGAAACAATATCTGCAAGTTGACCTTCTATCACTATACAATATCCGAGGAATTGTTACTAAAGGCAAAGTCACCGAATATATTTTGAGAACTAGTAAGGACGGAAAACGATACAGAGAACAAACTGGCAGTTCTGTTGTAACTCATCCATACACATTAGAGCCATTGCCATTGACATTGGTATGTATATATTGAACCTTGCTATATAAACTTGTTATTGTATTTGTTATAAATATAAATAAAATCCGTTGCATGCTTATTTGAATACCAAAGCGTTTCCTGTAAATTCAGATGATAGATAGATCTGTTTATATGAGCCTGGTTAAACTAGCTTCCTTTAACCAGTTCCAATATTAAATTTCCTGTGGAATTAATTTAAGCTCGCAAGCAAAATGATGGACCTGCTTATTTATAAGCGGAAAGTTTTACGTGACGTATATTGTAGTTTTACGCGACATGTACGTATATTGCAACGGGATTCTTAAATCTGGAATGTTCAGATCTTCAGTTGGTTAAATTTTCTTATATATATACTATTAATTTTCCACGTACACTAGATTTTTTTAATCTCGCATACCGCGATTTATTTAAGTCCTTATTCCTATACCGCCCTTTTTCTTTAGCTCTTTCACCCCGTTTCACGCGATGCCTTAATTTACTTAGTCCCAGGTCCCTCTGGTCGCTAGAAAATGCAAACTAGCCTATAGATCACAGGTACTTGGTAATTTACTATTTTACCATCCAATTCGCAATTCATATCATATACAGTATAGCATAACCTTTGATTGGCTTAATTAAACAGTAAGTTTATATTAACAAATTATGTGGTTTAAAATTGATTAGATGAATATTACTGTCGTTCCAATTGAAGTGTTCCTCAAATATTGATTCAATACATTACCTCGGGCTGACCATGCCAATTCATTAGATAGAAAATTGATCAACTTCCTGTTACTTTTAAATGAGCCAATTAGATTTCGCTTCAGAACCGATTGACCAATAGGAAACGCACAGGAAGTAAAAAGAAATTTGAATTCGTATGAATTGGTCAGCCCGAGGTATTAAATGTATATTCAATATTTGAGGAACACTTCAATTGGAACGACAGTAATGGCCAGCAGAAAATACGTAATTAAAAGAGCCACAACAAAAATATAGTTTAAAATATTTATTAGAAAGCTAACGTTTCGTCTTTAACTTAACATTTTCAGAGCAATGACATACAAAGCGGAAAAAACGTATAAACGTAGCTTTATTCCTTTACAATATAAATGTAGCTTAGTTTCTTGTCTTATACATCGTTTCTTTAGTCTTTGCTCCAATTATGAGAACTTTTACGCTCAGTTAGAACTATACCGCCACATTCTTAATAAGAATTGTTATCCAACTCGTCTTTTTGATCGCTGCGTACAAACATTTTTAGAAAATGTGTCTCAACCCAAACCAGCTGTTCACTCTGCTCCTAAGAAAGTTCTATTTTTCTTCCTTCCATATACTGGCACTCACTCTCTTCAAATTCGCACCCGAATCTCCCGTTTTTGTTCCTCAGCCTTTCCTCATCTGAATATTAGATTCGTTTTTCGTCCAACTTTACGTTTGTCTCAACTCTTCACCTTTAAGGACAAAATTCCTAAGGCTTTAAGATTTTGTGTTGTGTATTCTTTCACGGGTCGTTGCTGTTCCGCAACGTATTTTGGCCAAACGGTCCGTCACTTGCACACACGAGTATCTGAATACTTGGGTGTTTCTCCTCTAACAGGCAGTAAAAGCAGCACTCCGACCATGTCTAGTATCCTTTCCCATCTTGATAGCACTGGTCACTCCGCCTCTCTTAATGACTTTTAAGATTATTTCTTGTTGCTCTTCTCCAGACGAACTCCTCATTCGAGAAAGTCTTCTCATTAACAAGCTCAAGCCCTCTCTCAACATCTTTGGTCCCTCTACTTCTACTCCGATCCACTCCTCTTTCTACTGTTGTAATATAATATCTTGTAAATAGTTGTAATTTATTCATATTTCTGTGTTTTTCGCTTTGTATGTCATTGCTCTGAAGATGTCTTAAGTTAAAGACGAAACGTTAACTTTCTAATAAATATTTTAAACTATATTTTTGTTATGGCTCTTTTACGTATTTTCTGCTGGGCATTAATGTTTATCTTAAGATTACGATTTCCGATGAGTGTGTGGATGTTAATTCATGTGTTAATTTGTAGATTCCTGA